AATTTAAATAATTAAGAATTCAAGCAATATTTTTAAACTAAAATAGATATTTATTTTAAGATTACAAAATTCCTAGATTTATCTATGTTATATTAAAGGATAGTAATGGATAATAATATTAAATAAAGTGGCACCAAAAATTAAAGTCTTACTAGATATAGAAATAAAATTTAAAAATATAAAATAAATATTTAATATAAGTAATTTTATTAACTAAATTAAAAGTCAAATTTTGTATCTTGAAACTAAAAGAGAGTTTTTTTTGTTGCATGTAATACAAAAAATAAATATAAGAAAACTTAATAGATTTGGAATATAATAATCAAAGAACTTATATATTAATATTTTATATTAATTAAAGTTACAACTTAAAGTTAAATATGATATTATTTTTATTACAGGTAAAATATTAATTAAAAATTTCTTAGTAGGGAAGAGATTGTATAAAGAAAAAAATAAATATAACATGAGAATATTTATACTTTAAATTAATTAAAAATAAAATAAAGCAAATAATTGAATAATATTCAAAAATATTATTTATAAATTTAAATAGTAAAATAGTTTCAAGTAAGAGGATAAAAGCGTAAAATATATTAAATTTCAAGAATAAAAAAATAATATTTATCAATAATTATTAAAAGGATAATAAGCAAAATATTAAGTCAATTAGTAAGCCGATAAAATCATATGAAAGTATAATAATGTTAAATAATAAATAATATAATAATTATAAGTAAAGAAAAAAATTGTGTAAAATTTAAAAGAATAAGACTTATTAAAGCTTGAGATAAAAAATAAACTAATATTGAGAATTTTATTAAAATAATATAATTTAATATGTTCAAACGAGACAAATCACCACATGACATAGTTAGTAATTTTTAATATTGATTACGAAATACTAAAATTAACCTATTAGATTATATAAATGTAGAAAAAGAAAACAGGTTATCCACTATGAGATTTGCGAAATGGTTTCATGTCTTGCTTCTTAATTAATATCTAATGATTATGTATAAATTTTATTTGGAAGGTTTATAATTTAAAGTTATTTATACATAATTCAAATAATCCAAATAAAAATCCGACATGATTTTTGTCCGTGCATCGCGCTGGTACTAATACTAGTATAGTTTACGGGAATTCCATTTATTTATAGGGTTATCATGGACACACGATGGGTTGAATTCTAGGAGGAAATTGAACGCTCCAAGGATGCTATTTGTTTTCACTTTCAGCAGTATTTGATTTGCTTTCTTTTTCTAAATGAAGGCTGTGTTTGATTGGGTTGATTTTTGTTCTATGGAGTATCTTATTTTGTGCATAAGAATAGTAATGTTTGATCGGGTTGATTTTTACTGAAGGCGGAGCTGGGTTAGTTTATTCTGATTTTTAAATATTTTTTACTCTATGTATATGTAAGTTTAGCGTGCAGAATCATGGAAGAGAAGATTATTTTGGCAAAAGACAACAAGAACACAAGTTAATATATATGAGAAAAACATCTTTAAGATGTGAGTTTTGCTCTTCTTAGTAAAGATGATATTTCCCTAATCCTGATTTACTCAGCTACACATCTATTGATATGTTTGATACATGGAGATGCACGAATGTTAAAACACTAAATGTTGAACGACTAAAATATCCTCGAAAACTTGACGGACTTTTATACCCTTCCAAAACTAAACAATTCGTTCGAAGAACAAACTTGATATTGGATACATTGGTAATATTAGGATCTTGCAAACAATTAAGAGTTTATCTTTATGGGTTATTTTTCGTGGTAGGATACTAATTTTGATTAGGAGAGGATTGCTAATTATAAGATTCTCAACTTGAATAGGAATCCTAAGTTCTTTTTAAACTTTTTGTGCTTTGTATTGTTATAGTAAACGTATCGTACGGTAACCGGTAACCCGGTGGAGCAAACTAATCTCAAATTGTAATACAAATTTACAGGTAAAACTTTTATCCACGCTATGAATATTTAGTACATAATTTTTTTCAAGATTCTTTAATTTGCCATAATCAATAGTCGATGCAATGACCAGTGGAGCTGAAGTTTGACTTTCACCAAGTCACTTTGTTTGTTCTTTTGTACCTTCTGTAGGAGTATTATTTGTAGGAGATACAATAGTCTCAGATATGTCATGTTCCTACCCTTGCTTCTTGATGAAACAAAAAATTTATTTTGACTGATTTAATTTTAATGTCTCTAACTGTCGTTATTCTTTAGTTTATGCATCCAAGTTTAAAAGTACAAGTTAATCTCCTTCTATCCTCAAAATTTACATTTTGCACTCTTCTTCATATCGTTGATAGACTTTTATGCTCTTTCAAAGCTAAAAGTTTTCTTTAAAGACAATTTTATGTTGATAAGATTGTCTTATATAAAATTTTACCCAATATCCAAGACTTTGCATTCAACTAAAAACTACTGTTTTACTACAATTGTAAAATTAGAATCCAATGGTCAATTGCGTTTTGAAAATTAGTTTGCTAAGAGTGATAATTAATTAGGTCCATTACACTACTCTGACCAATGATACTATTAGAATATATATGCGATTACAAGTTTACTATTTTTGTACAAATTATGTAATATTTGACTTGAGATATTCGTGCAACGCACGAGTATAGAAACTAGTTTTATATAATGACAGTCTATTTGTAAATTTTTTGTATAGTGACAGTCAATTGAGTATATATTTTGTATAGTGACAGTCTATTTTGTATATATATTGTATAGTGACGGTCTATTTAGTATATTTTTTGTATAATGATAGTCTATTTTTGTATAGTGACAGTTTATTTTGTATATATTTTGTATAGTGACAACCAATTTAGTATAGTTTTTATATAATGACAGTCTATTTTATATAATTTTGTATAGTGACAGTCTATTTTGTATATTATTTTTATTTCACTTCAACCAACCCTTCATTTCTGTTGTGCTTTTACTAAAATATCATCCTTACATCAATCTAATTCCTAATATTACCATTCACCTTATGGAAGTGGGTAAAGCCGAGATAAACCGTAACAAGTGATCCCGATAAGACTCGAAGTCCGCCTCGGCCGGGTCAAAGCGAGTGCATACAGAGGAAAAGGAGGAGGCAGTTCTCAACTCACACGAGTCGAACCAAGTTAACTCGGAGCCTGAGGTGAACCCTAACTCCGCCGATCCTGATGCAGGTCTAGGCTTGTATTCGCCGGACGTCAAGCATATCAGAAAAGAAATATTGGACATCTTAGATGAACCGGAAACTGTTACAGACCGTCTACTAGAGGTTCAGGATCTGGACTCGGTAATCAGGAGCTTCGATGAAGAGGTTGTTCATCCGTTAACTCAGCCTCAACCAGACCTCTGCTACCTTCTAGAAGCTTCGGATGACGAGCTCGGCCTCCCTCCCACCGCTTCAGCTTCCGATGACCATTTTAATGCTAAAATTGACAAGCCAGAGAACGCCGCTGGAATTAGATTTGAGTTTCCGTGATAGTTGGGTCGGTGGCTATCAGCTGTTATTAGTTTCTATTACAATTTTGTAGCTAGCGGCTGATATTAGTTTCTAGCAACTGGCCTTAAAATGAAGTTTGCTCTTAATTATCTATTCGCTTGTAGCCACTTTCATAATCTCAAGGCCCAAGGAAAAAAATTTAACGCTTTGTTATTTTTAAACTTAATATATAAAATATATTTTCTGATATAATAAATTTATTCGGTACGATTCGATATTTTTTGTTTTGTTTTATAAATTAAAAAACTAACCTTACTATTTGGTACAGTTAAAGATTTATATAACAATCTACGATTTTATCAAAATAAACCTATTAGTTGGTTGAGGCAATTTAGTCAGTTTTAAAGATTCATTGACACCCGAAATCAGAAATTAATAATGAAAGAGTCGAAACTCCAAAAGACAATAGAAGAATATTACTCCGTGTAACATGTAGCATCCTTTTCGTTTTTAGTTTATCCAAAAAAGCGGACACTTTTTGTATTTAAAAATAATTTAATTTTAAACTTCTCAATTGTATTCTTAACGAAATTATTTATAATAACAAAAATATACAAATTGAGAGTACTGGCATTTGTTAGGATATCTATAGCCAGCTTTGCAATTCAATTCTAACTTTAAGCAACTAAATATCAATTATTAAAGTGCCAATTGTCACCACTCTAAAATTGATAGAATTTCAATTCTGTATTAATAATCTTTACTATTTTTTTGTCTGTTTAGTCAACAAATAATTAATTACGGGTTATGATTAGCATAATTTTTTTTCTAAATCAGATTCCTATTTAATAGCTAAAGACGATTTTCTAGCACAAAATAAAATTGTTGACCACAAGAGATTTGTAATCTAATCACGAATATACTCTGCAAATATACAAAAAAATAAAAATAAATAAATAAATAAATCTTTGACTGTTTCTACTATAGTTAATTTATACGGTAAGGTGAATGTCTAATTGATATTTAATTGATCCATATCTATAAATGGGGCATAATTAGTGATTTGATTTATCTGCTAAAATTAATGCATGAGAATCTCTGATTTGCATATATTGTGGTAATTTGGTTAAAAAATTAAATTGAGTTGAACCAAACAACAGCCTCGCGTAGTCCAAGTGTGATAAGTCTTATTTCAGTGTCTGTTCAGTCAACTTATTAGTTATAGATTACCAGTAGAATAATTCTTTTTCTAAATCAAACTCTTATTTAAATACGCTAATTATAGGGATATTTAGCAGAAACTTTGATTTACTGACATATAAGAAATACATGACCAAATCACGATTAGACATACATATTAGGAAGAAAATTTGGAGTATTTACGCTATAACAAGTTTAATGCAATTGAACCAAATTTGGAACATCCATAAAAAAGGACGTAATCAGTGCAGATTACGTATTGATTGAACTGCACAAAAAGCACTATATATGCACATCTTTGCTCAATGTGATAATCACCTCAAAACCATGGATTTTAGATCTGTTTTCACCTTGGTTTGCATTCTCATCCTTCATTTTTCAGCAACAATTGCTGGTCATTTTACAAATCAAAATGATTTAGAAACTTACATTGTGCATCTTGAGTTTCCTGATGATATTTTTTTCTCTGATTCAGACGATTTATATCTCTGGCATCAGTCATTTTTGCCTACAACTTCAACAAATTCTGAACACTCGTCGCGCATTATATATTCTTATCGTCATGTGTTTAACGGTTTTGCTGCTCTGTTGTCAGCAGATGAAGTGAAGATGATGGAAAAGAAACCAGGTTTTGTATCTGCGCGTCCCCAACGGGTACTGCAGATGCATACCACACACAGTCCAGATTTCCTTGGCCTGCACCAGAATGTTAGCTTGTGGAATGCCTCGAATTCTGGTAAAGGTGTGATTATTGGTTTGCTAGATTCTGGAATAGCTCCACGACACCCTTCGTTTAATGACAACGGAATGCCTCCTCCCCCTTCCAAATGGAAAGGCAAATGTGAGTTCAATCTCACAGTCTGTAACAACAAGCTTATTGGAGCACGGAATTTTGCGCGGTCAATCAATCTGTCACCTTTCGACGAGGAGGGACATGGGACACATACTTCAAGCACAGCCGCTGGGAATTTTGTGGAGGGTGCCAATTTGCTTGGTAGTGCTAATGGCACTGCTTCTGGCATTGCGCCCCGTGCTCATGTGGCTATGTACAAAGTCTGTACCAGCGATGGATGTCAAGAATCTGATATCGTTGCTGGTATTGATGCAGCCATTGGAGATGGTGTGGATGTGCTTTCCATTTCCCTTGGAGCAGCACCTGTACCTTTTTATGAAGATAACATAGCAATTGGAGCATATAGCGCAATTGAGAAGGGGATTTTTGTAAGTTGTTCGGCAGGAAATAGCGGACCATTTAATGCTACTGTATCAAATTCAGCCCCCTGGTTGCTAACTGTTGGTGCTAGCACAACAGATAGAAAGATAAGTGCAGTAGCTGTTTTGGGCAATGGACAACAATATGAGGGTGAATCAGTATTTCAACCAAGAAACTTCTCACGAAAATTATTGCCGCTCATAGATGGCGGTAGTTGTGAATTACTGGCCCCATTTGATGTCAAGGGTAAAATAGTGTTGTGTGATACCAGTGGTGTCATGTATACTAGAGTTCAAAAAGGAGAGCAAGTGAAAAAGGCGGGTGGTGCTGCCATGATTTTGATGAACATAAAAGTTCGTGGTTACACAACATTTGCAGATGTTCATGTCCTTCCTGCAACGCTTATCAGTTACAATGATGGACAAAAGATCTTAAACTATACAAAATCAACATCAGCACCAGTTGCAACAATATCATTCAAGGGAACGAGAATTGGAGACAAGAACGCGCCAACAGTTGCTTTCTTCTCTTCTAGGGGACCATCAATGATAAGTCAGGGCATATTAAAGCCTGATATTATTGGCCCTGGTATGAATATTCTTGCAGCGTGGCCAACTTCTGTGGGCCAGAAAACATCTTCTAAGTCGACTTTTAACATCATTTCTGGAACGTCGATGTCTTGTCCTCACCTTGCTGGAGTAGCAGCATTGTTAAAGAGTGCACATCCCGATTGGTCTCCAGCTGCAATTAAGTCTGCAATCATGACGACTGCTGATTTCATTAACCTTGCGAATAATCCAATTCCGGATGAAACACTTAACCCTGCTGATTTGTTCTCAATTGGATCAGGGCACGTGAACCCATCAAAGGCAAATGATCCCGGACTTGTTTATGACACCCGGCCTGAAGACTATGTGCCTTACTTATGTGGCTTAAACTACACCGATGACCAAGTTAGTGCTATTGTGAGAAGGAATGTGCGTTGCACATCAAGCATAGCTGAAGCAGAGTTGAACTATCCTTCATTTGCCATTAATCTTGGATCTACTGCTCAAACGTATACGAGGACTGTGACTAATGTTGGTGAGGCTAATTCGACTTACACGGTTGAAGTATTTGGAGTTAAAGGTGTCAAGTTGAGCATTAAGCCTACCACCTTGAAATTCTCAGCTTCGAACCAGAAATTGTCCTATAAAGTTACATTTAAGCGTTCAGTTTCTGCAGATTCTTCCCAAGGATACATAAAATGGTCTTCAACCAAGTATTCAGTTAGGAGTCCAGTAGCAGTTTTCAGATTAGAGTAGTATATCAGTGGTGAATTCCCCCGTCGTTTTCGACATAAACTCTTGGAAGTTATGTGGAATTTTTCTTCTTCTTTTGGGAGATTAGGGAGGGGGAAATGGAGTTATTACAATGATTGTTATAAATTATTCAATAGAATGAGTTTATTTCGTTGATATGAATATAACTGGCAACTCCTCTGTTCTTATATTATTAAGATTTAACCTTTCCTAATCCTTATTTAAACAGCAATTACTTACTTTTAATTTGCAAAAGCCAAAGAGTATGTAGTAAATTCACACATACGTTCTTTTTACCTCATCAAATAGAGCACTAATTAAAAAAATGAGGGATTTGCGCAGAAGTACAGCCAACACACCATATTGCAACTAGGTAGCTATATTTCAAGTTTACAGCCGCATAACACATTATACATCCAGTATAATGTTTCCTGCATTGCCTGCTTTGTACACTCAATCTACAACATTATACACTTATTATAATGTCGTATAACGTTGGAGGCACCCAACAGAAAACCTGCGAGTATTTCAGAGCTATTCTTCAAAAGCTTTTCCCTATTTGCAAACCAAAGCCCAATTTTGAATTCCTTCAAATAATAAAATCGAACAATTTTAAAAAATTAAAGTTAAAGAAGATAGTACGGAGGAAAATAAAGAAGAATTTCATAGTAAATTGATCTGATTTTTTCGTAACTACAATCAGGTTTAGAATGGTGTTAGATCGCATCTGACAGTGCAAGACCCTACTGGTGCCTTGTTCTATAGAGAGAACATTGTTGGGCTGGGCCTTTACGGTTAGCTTGAGTTTCTTCCCATTACTGGCCTTGGGTTTCAGCCAATTTATGAAATGGTAGTTTGCAGTGCAAACTATCCCCGGTCAGCAAAAGGGAAACTTACACAAATGTCCCATATAACTTTCATTTTACCAACCTCTAGCAATTAGTCATAAACTACCAAAACTAGCCAAGCACATATAAAAATTAAAAAACTAAATAAATAAGGTTCTTTATCTCAAAGAATCACATGCCAAAATCTCCCTCCATATTTTTAAGCGTGATTAGCAACATTAGATGCAAGATGGAAAGGAAATTTCATGGATGAGATAGCAAATAAGATAAAGAAATACAAAAAAAATATAATATTTCAAAAGTCTAAGCAAAAAATGAACTTTTTTCAATGGGTATAGTTGAAATTCATTAAAAACATATAGATAAGTCAATATGCAAAATTTGAGGAAGAATGGAGGTGATTTGGACTGATTTTGTATCAAAATTCGTAATTAAATCGAGTTCAAAAAAGTTCTTCTGCGATACATGTATCAAAAATGTATCACGCATGTATCTTACACACAGGTATATATGAATATACATGTGATACATAATTGATACAAATATGATACATCTGTGATACACAAATGATACATAGTGTGATACACATATCATTTTTTTTTTTTCATGTTCGAGTTTTACTTCGAATTTTCAATTCAAACCACCTCAAAACTTCACCAAATCATCCCAAAACTGAGTTTCGAACTCTTTAAGATGTATCCAATCTACTCTAATAACACCCACTAAAAAAGCAAAAAATTGACCTAATGTTGCTACAAATAGCTAATTGGTTAATATTAGTAATATTTCATGAATTGGCTAATTTTTGTAATGAGCTACTTATAAATGGACATAGCTGGTAATTTCCCTCAGCAAAATAATGTTTGGTCAAGCTTGAAAAATCAGAAGTGCTTTTTTCAAAAGTATTGGAGAAAAGTAGTCTGTGTTTGGCTAATCGATTTGAAAATTACTTTTGAACAATAATTTGTGTTTGGCCAAGCTTTTCCAAAACTATTAAGTGTCAAATTACAAATAAGAACATCAAGAGATTTGCTTAATGGTTAATATTATATAAGTAGATAAATAATTACAAATATTATTATTAAAGATAATAATTAATTTTTTTATTTTATTTAAGTAAAATATAAAAATAAGATTGAAAAGTATTTTATTCTTTCAAGATAATTTAAATATATCAAAAAATCATTCAATAAATATGAAAGTTCATCGCAAAAAGTCATTTTATATTACTTAATAGTTTAAACTAAGTAAGGTTATTGGTATATATAATATTTTGCAAAGGGTATTTTAGTAGGAAGAAAAGTCAAAACTGCTTCTGCTTCTGTTCTGGTGAGAAACTACTTTTTTCTGCTTCTTCAAAAAGACTTCTGCTTATAGTAAAAAATACCTTTTTCCCCCAAACAAAAAAAAAGCTTGGCCAAACACCTCAAATTGAAGGAAAAAAAACACCTTTTTTAAAATAAAAAAACCCACTTTTGGCTTGGGGAAGAAGCTTGTCCAAATAAGCTATAAGTCCCCGTCATTCTCTGTCCTTGTATGGGTTTTACATTCTCACAGTTAAGGAAACAAAAATTCTCAAATATACTGGCTTTACCTCGAACTTCCAAGAAATGGCAGCATGCTTTCTCTAAGGTGCTAACCTGAACGTCAAGAAAATCTAATTAAAAGCCCATTAAGATTACTCTATCCGCGCTTCTTCATATCTCTCTCTCTATATATATAGTAAGAGTACAAATTGGTCGACACCATCATGGGAAACTTGAACTTTTCATAGCAAATGACTTCCACAAATTTAACAGAAACGTCCTTCCCTTCTTTTTGTGCTGTTTTCTATGGAACTTCACCTTCTTATCTCTATTTGTCATTTCCCAATTCATTGACCCTTTCAGTTGTTTGATTGAGTGGAGCTGTTTTCTTGGAGTATTTAAGTGAGATTTTGAACGAAAAGAAAGGAAAAAGAAAAGTTATGGATAAAGAGATAGATACTGGGAATCAAAGAGCTCTGGAGACAGTAATCACTATCAGATTGGATGATAATCTTGAAAATAGTGGGAATGGGAATTTGGAGAGAATTTGGATGGTGATTTGCAAAGGGTGTGTAGGATATGCCATTTGGATACATTTGAAGGTGGGAAAAAATTGGTAGATTTGATTGAGCTTGGTTGTGAGTGTAGAGGAGAGCTTGGATTTGTTCATTCTCATTGTGCAGAGACTTGGTTTAAACTTAAAGGAAATAAGCAACTTTTTCCCTTTGTCTTTTCTTTTCTTTACTTACCATAATATTCAAGTTTACTACTTACTATTGTTTACTTCAACTGTTATTTGACTGAAGATAAATCTGTATGCTTTTATCTTATCGTGTCCCCAGGTTGAATTTGCTAACTTTGATATACTTGTGAATCATATTTCTAAACTTAGATGTAGAAGATTTTCTGCTTAAAGCTTTGTCTTGATTGGAAATGGTCGCCATTCCCCTTGCCAAAGTTATTGCTTTGGTAGACTCTTATAATTAAACTATAGTATTAAAGAGTTGAATTCAGGTCATGCATTGTTATTGTTGTGTCTATACTTGATATAAATACTTGAATTCTTCTCCATCCAATTTTTTATGAGGAACCTTGGCCCCTAAATGGATAATAGGTGTAGGGTCCTTTGCATTATCCAATAGATCTAAAATCTAATAAAAATAGTTCATTTTTATTAACTTAAACCTTGTGCTGACAGTCAAACACATCCTGCAGAACTGCATATCGAAGACCAAATTCTGCATACTCAACGGATTTTGTTTGTGTACTGATCTTCTAAGCACTTGGTCCTCCACAACCAACAGCAGCAGTAAGATGTAGCAGTCCTAAGATATGCTTAGGTTAAGAAATTTCTTCGAGGGGAAACGAGAGATTGGAATAAGTGATGCTGAAGTTATTCTTCATAACTCCCACCAATATTTTCTTTCCTTCTATTTAGTAACTAGGTCATTTTATTTTTATGTACCACAAGAATTATGTTGATTAGTCGAGAGAAATGAAAAGGAAAACTACATTCTCTGGCTGTTAGTTCTGCCAGCTGCCCTGCAGTCCTGTCCTTTGGTTGCAAAACATTCTTAAATCTTAATGATGTATATCTGGTTAATTTCTCTGGGTTCTATAACTTATTTTAACGGGTTAGGAAAAATAGGAATTGCAAGTTTCCTGTAACTGAGCTCCCTTTAAACCATAAACCCCTCTTCCCGAGCTATTGAAGCATAGGATAATCATGTGTTTCAAGAGTAGAAAATTTTATCTTACTGAAAATAGGAATGTGTATACGGATACTGTACTTAAATGTTCTCAATAAAATTTATCTTGTCTTCTATGCTGGTCGATATGACTTGTATGTGCCAAATAACATCACAAGAGGAAATATTTAGAACTTATCATCATGCAGGTTGTGTGAAATTTGTGGGGAGATTGCAAAAAATGTCACTGGTGTCAGCGACAATAGATTTATTGAAGAGCGGAGTGAAGCAAGATCTATTGCAAGTGGTACTAGTTCAGCTGAAAGAGATAGAGGATGTTGGCGTAGACAGTCATTTTGTAACTTGTTGATAGCATGCCTGATAATAGCTTTTGTGCTACCATGGGTTTTCCATGTAAAAAGTTTTAGATTAGGTAAATAGAGTTCATAGTTTCTTGCCTTAAATCTTATTTCACGTCTTGCAGATTGCAAGGTGTTGAGTGTTTTTAGTACATAAAACCAGCTTGACTCATACCATTGCTGCGTCCGTCTACATGATCTGGGCCAAATTCTTGGTCGATTTTAGAATACTCTGGATACTATTAGATGGAAGCATCAATCCGGACAAATAATATAACCTTTGGCTGAGATAAGTATCATTATACACTTCGCCTCATTGAATTTGTATTTTTTGGCTTTTGGCTAGATCATATTTTTTAATATGGCAATGACTTTTGAACCTTCAAATCCTGGAGTTGGCATGAGTTCTTACATCATTCATCTTTTATTTAGATGAGGAAATCATTTGTCTTTATAAGAGATTCTGAGGAATCCCATGCCATATTCACATAATATGGCATGATATGAGCTACATTCTATTTTTCTTCTTTATTTGATACTTCTATGTAACATCTGATGTCTGCTTTTCTTGTCCAAGCTGTTCCTGTTATAAAATATAATGATGTGCTATTGGATTGACTTGTCTTGGGGTTGATTTAGTTATATATTGATTCTTAAGCCCAAAAAAAAAAAAAAAAAATAGAAAAATAGAAAAATGCAATGTGTGACTGTATCTTTTTGTTTTGTCATCAGGTGAACTGTTCTTTGAAGCTATCTGAAAGCTCCTTCCAAGAATCTTAATCTAGCCTGTGACTTGGGAAAAAGGCACATACTATAAAAGGGCAAGTTCTTAAATAGAAATGCTTAGGAATTTCTACATAAAGAGGTTGAAATAGCAGATTGCTTTAAAAGTGTGGTCAATCTCCTACATAATATTGAAATATTGAGACAGAATTTAGTTTAAGATTTTTTTTTCTCTTCAATTTTTTAAAAGAGTAGCTTGTTTGAGGGAGTCACGGAAAACATTTACAAAACTTTTGTTGGAAATTTTCTAAACTAAGTTTTCAAAATCATACAAAAACTCAAAAGCAAAAGCAATAAAAAAGAAAATCAAAATCGAATGCCAAACAAACTCACTCTCTACATATTGAAGATGGACTATATACAATGTTGAAGTGGATCTATTAAAGACATTACCTATCAGAGATAGAATTCCTACAAATTAAAGAAGACGGGATCTAGCATAGCACATGAGCTAGAAAATGTGTATAATTTTTCTGAAATGTTGTGAAACATGTAAGCAGCAATGATATACAATAGTTCTTTCTATGTATAAGATTGAGGTAGTTGCAGTACAATTTAAATGCAATTGTTAATCACACAAATAAATTGATCCAAGTAAAAATTATGAAAGAATTACAAGAAATACACATGACTTCACACCATAACAGAAAATGGCCTATGTTTTTAAGTTTTACCCAACCTATCCCATATTGTACATATCTTGAAAGCACTAGCAAATTCAAAACTTGTGTTCTTACAACCATTGCTTCTAAAAGTTATGGAGTTAAATATGTGTTCTCACAACCATTGCTTTCACTCTCTCTTCTTCTCACATCTTCTACATATGCTTCAAGGGATTGTCCGCCATTGCTGCTTCTTATCCTGTGTCACCTGGTTACAATGTAAGAAAATTGGGTATTGTTCCAATTGATTGAAAATATCAAAAGGAGTTCAAAATTTGAATTTGAAGTCATTTGGAGTAGATTTGAGCAAGATTTGAGTTAAATTTTAGAAAAGACGCAAGGAAGAAGACGAAGTCAGTTTTTTGTATAATTATGTATAATCTTGTATAATAGTATATATGAATATATAAACACATCTTATACACTATTATATTATACAAGCGTCTGTAGACGAACTTCTTCCACGATTTTCAGTTTCAATTTTAGTTCAAAACCAGACCAAATCTCCATTAAATGACTTCAAATTTTATATACAACCCCCTTATACTATTTCTAACAAGACTAAATAATACCAACTCCAAATTTCTCACAAAATCAAATTCGAAATTTAAACCCACATGTTAAGCTTGTTAAAAATTTAATTTTCACCATCTAATTGGTTTGTTGAACTAATATTTGAGTCACAGTTACTGATTCAAAAATTAACTTAAAAGCTTGAGTAATCTTTTTTAAAAATTAAATAGTAATTTCTAGAACCCATTGGAGTTGGATGTTGAATCTTAGCCTAGTATTTTTAGGCTAGTTGGATGTAAATTGAAATATGGGCTATAAAATTAAAAAGCAGGGACTGAAATTTCCCCGTAAATTATCACGATATTTCCGTGAAATAATTATATCTAGGCGTGGTAAATTTCTCGAGGAAGGCCCTTATCTTATTTGAGTGCGATTGTCAATAGGAAACAAGAATATTTAGTTACTTACTTAAAAAATAAACAACACAATTCAAAGCAAATCCGTTGTAGTCTAGTCGGTTAGGATACTCGGCTCTCACCCGAGAGACCCGGGTTCAAATCCCGGCAACGGAATATCTTTTTTTAATATTCTCATATTTTCGATTTTCTGACTTTCCAGTTTAACCTGTTAGCGCTATATTATACTATGAGTCCCCGCCTATAACAATAAAGTGGATTTTAGCATCTTTATATCTGTTACTTAAGAATATGCGTAGGCTTGAACTGATAATTGATATTCATTCACCGGATCCCTGTAATGTGATCTTAATTGGTCGAATGGATTTTCTTTATCTAAGAACTGTTGTATTATTTGTTTCTTCAGAAATGTCAGGCATTATTCACAATAAGTTGTTTCAGTGATATTGATACTTGGATGTACTTGTGGTTGGCGTTACTTAGATTTGTTGCCAGACCTGTTAATGTATATTTCTAGTTCCAAGTCTTCAAGTGTGAAACAAGATTTTAGAATTATAACACCGTTATTGCAAGCCATTTCCTAAGTTGAAAAGGTGAATGCTTCTTGTTCAAAAGTCTTCACATATGGCAAGCGTTTCTAACTGAATCAGCAGTGTTATCAGAGGACAGACCAGTTTGTGGTCGTTGGACGCGAATATCAGAATTTGAGTATTTTCATTCCTTTCACCATTTTCCTGCAGTGAAAGAACAGAATAAACGAAACTGGACTATGATCTGTTTTGCACTGCAACTGGAAGTGCTGGCCATCTACTTGCTGGGTTGGGCAGATGATCTTCCATCCTCGGGCTACAGATCACGTCTAATATACCAAAACGGGCTAGCATGTGAATAATTACCCCTTTTCAACCATCAAAGCAAGTAAATTGTTGGGGAGGGGGGGAGCAGCGAAAGTATGCAACTTGAGAAAGAGATCATAAATGCAATTAGACTTAGAGACAACATATGCTACAAACAAACAAATGAATGTGCTAAACTCCACACTCTGCCTTTCCATCTTGTTTCTCCATGGAAAAAAGCAGATATGAAAAAGAGACTAGTCCTTCAGTTAACTGTCAAGCGTGTAAAGCATGATGGACGACTTAATCATGTCTTCATTGTCTTCAACATCTGATGAGCAATTCCACAAGTTCACTTTTCTTCAGTTTTGAATAACCTTTAAGTCCTCTAGATTTTGCCAGTTCTTTAAGCTGAGGAAGTTTCATATCCTCAATTTTGATAGCTTCCCTTTCACCATGATCACCTGGTGATGTCTCCGTCTTGAGCTCAACCTTTTCTTTGGAGTTAAATGGTGATTGTAGAGGGGATCTTTTCACAAAGCTTGAGGGTGGGCGTGTTGATCTTGGATCTAATGTTGGTGAATAATCTGTTTTTGGTTCCTTTTGACCTCTTTGATGAGTTGACCCCTTATCACCCTTCGTATTTGAAGTTGTACCTTCAAAAGCAAAGAGGTAATTATCTAACTGAGGTGTTATCATTTGCACTAGGATTAATTTTGGGAAAAAGGGAAATGCTGGATACAGGCTGAGGCAAAACTGAAAGATATTCATTACCTTTTGACTCTGTCTTCGAATGACGAAGGATTTCCAAGACCGAGTCAATAGTGGGCTTCTCTTCAGAGGACTTGGTACTTCTTTTCTTGGAACTTAAAGAATCACCTTTTGAAATTGAAGATTGTATTCTCTTGAAAAGAGAAATGATCTCTTCTTGGTTTAGTGAATTTGATGATTTACTGTCGGGGGATGACTGTATATTGATCTCATCTCCTTTGGATGTTTTCCCTGGTGTAGCATCTTTTGAAGACTTCCGCCGCCTGCTCCCCTCAGCTCTTATGGTCGAGAGAGTTGAACAATGACAATCCCAACGATTTGTACTCACGGAAGGACCATATGCAATCTCTGCCAAATTGAACAAGCTGCATCAAAAATCAATACCTCAGTTTAAATTTCCAGAATTTCATGCCATCTAATAAGATGTTTCCCCATTGTGATGTCTGGATGAAATGTACAGCGTATCTATGGTGCTGGGTGTTATCATTTCTAGTGGACTGAAATAAAAAGTATCTAAAAGTGCATAATCACAAGATCCATATACAACTGTATGTCCAATTATCAAAAAGTCATCTCAGCGAAAAAATAATAATAATATGCATGAACACAACGAAAGGAGATTACCTGTGGTTCAAATATGTCTATAAATTCATCGAGTCCAACAATCTCCCAACGAATATGTCCGCGGAATCAAAGAAAATGTGTTCATGGTTCCTTATGATTTAGACATAGATAGGAATAATTTCCTTTCTTGATGCAAGATGAATAAGAAACGAATTGATGTTGAACAAAGTCCACTATGATAAAATTAGCAAGAGAAGCCACGTGCTTGTTTGACGACGTTCAAAATTGTTTTGCCCTAATTTGACTGGGACGGCGGGAGAAGGAGAGCATGCATAAGTGGTACGAAAGCCATAACGGAGGCATGGGTTTTTCTCATGAAAATGAGAAACTCAGAGATGAGTATTCCGAACTGACTGAAAAATACAGCATAGGAAGCTCTTTTTTTTTTTTTTTTTTATTTAGCCAACCGACCCTTTTTTTAGCATAGGAGGCTGATGACAGGTTATAAGGTCAGAAAAGCTAAGTCAAGCCCAACCAAGAAAAGATGGTTGAGACAAGGATTAGTGATCCTGCTATATACAAAATACCTAATAGCTAATGGCCTTATGGTATCTATCCATCCATGCTAAAACTTTTGAGACTGAGGGTTTGAATCAAGGTCTTAAAAAGCGTGAAACACAAATACACAATAGACACATTGATTCAGCAAAGAAAATAGACAAAGGAAGTGGTTTTCCATTAATCTTGGTAGCAAGTGTTAGCTGACGAGTATTTTGGATTTTGGCTGTGCAATGTGCAACACACATATGAATCCTAGTAGCTCAAAACTAAAAGGTACTAGTAGATTTTACTCTAAATAATTACTTTTGAGCTACATGTTAAAACTCTTCCCCTCACCCCTGCTTCCTTCCCCTACCCCCGAAAGACATAGCTGCAAGAAAATCAGAAAATAGCAAAATTCGACAAACCAAAGGATAGCAACGACTGGTACAAGACAGGGCCAGCTCTAATGCCTTGTCAAATAGGGCGTGTGCCTTAGGCCCCAAATTTGGGAGCCCATTTTTTAGAAATAATTGATATATAATAATTTAAATAAAATAAAATTTAGAGTTTTTAGTATAAAGTTAGACTTTTTCATAAAACAAAAGAAATTTTTGTAAATATGTAAATAAAGTAACTATTTGGCTTACTTAAAATGGGTAGTATGAAAATATTTTCTAACGTCCGAATTGAAATTGATTTGACAAGAAAAAATAGTACAAATAGAAGATACTATAAACTCGATCAAATAAAACGGCTTGATTCTTTTCCAAATATTTATATTACTTATAGAATAATGTTATTAGTTCGTATAACAGTTTCTTCAGCGATAACAAGTTTTTCAAAATTAAAATTGATAAATATATAAATAATTTCTCAAGAAAGATTAAATGGGCTGGTTATAATATCAATTGAAAAGAAATTATTGGAAGAAATCGATTATAAAAAAAATTATTAACAACTTTGTATCTCAAAAAGCTAGAAGAATAGACTTCAAATAAAAATATATATTATAATCTTTTAAAAAAATTTAGGCTTTCATATTAACCTTTGGCTTTAGGCCAAATATGAGCTTGAGCCGCCCTTGGTACAAGAACCGTATTACTGCTAAAGGTGAGGGCTTGGTTTTGGGTATTTCCTACAGTTAGTGTACTACTAGAACCACAGATATAGAATGAACTAACTCACTGATCAGTTTTCACTGCAATATATACCTCAAGCATATCAGTCATCCCCTTGAGCTTTAACAAAAATTGCAGGGATTTACATCTCGCTTGTATATTTCCACAAATACCTGGAGTCCTACTATGAGACAAAGGTTTCTAGAGAGCTATACATACATACATCTACTAGTTAATTACTAGTACTAAATTCCAACCTAGATCAATGTTCAAATCACAAAATAAGTTGAGGTAAATGGGCTGAACAAATCCTGCTTGCAATTCCCATAGTCATAAAACCCAATTTTTTACACTAAGTTCCCAATTAAATTCCCAATAATCCAAGAATGAATAAGAGCACAACTCATTTAACTCATTTCATAGAATATTTTCATAAAGCAATTGATTAAAGAAAGTACCTTTTGCTATTCGGATTTCCAACTTGGGTTTACATAAAGCAGAGAAGGACGGCAAGTGAGATATGGAATTGGATGAGAAAACTGCAGTTGCTGCTACACCCATATTTTCCTTTTTCTTGGAAAATTAATTTTCGAGTCTTAAGAAATTATGAGTAGATATACAGTAGATTCCTTATTTTTATTGATTCATTCACCACCACAAAAAAAGAATACGTGTATGTGGGCTGACCACAAAGAGACATTTTTGTCACGTGCCACCTCTAAATGCAACTTGCAAGTACGAGCAATCCGAATGTGGTTTTGGATGATGATTGAAATTTTTGGCTTGTTTATTCTTCACTAATTATTACAGTGACCCTTTTTGGGTTGTTTATTTGAAAAAAAACAATAATATCCAAATATAATGTTTTTATTCGTGAACCTTCAACGTTGAGCTGGCATGACATGTGACACCCAGCTCATCAAATATTAGTGTCACACATGATTGGATGTTTACCTTGGACAAATTTAACAAAAAAGAGGTATATTTGAACCAATAATATTACAGCAGGGGTATATTTGAACCCAAAATATAACGAAATATATATTTAAATATTTTTTTATAGTACATGAGTATATTTGGCCCTTTACCGTTCTTAAGACATGTCACATCCATTAATTACACCTCTTTCTATTCCCACCATAGGTAAATAGTTTTTCATAATAACACCTCTCATCGTCTTCTTTCTCCCATTTGAGGGGCGGATCTAGGGCTAGCCTAGTGAAGCTATTGCCTTAGGCCCCAAAAATTTGAAGGCGCCAAATTTATTCAAAAAAATATTATTATTATTATTATTATTATTATTATTATATAATAAATAATAATTATTATAAATAAAAGTGTTAGTGTATATGTTAATTAGGTTATTTTTTATCAATAAGTTCATAAATTATGATAATTTCAGTTCCCTCATTAATTAATATATTTGATTTACTCTTTATTATTTAATTTTAATTTTATCCTTTTTACATAGGAATTAAGTTATATACATCGACAATAGAATAAATTTCTTTTACAATCTTATCTGAAACTGCAAGAACATAAAAGCGTTTGTGCGCCGATTTTTTTTAAGTGTGATTTAATATATTAGGTTAAGTTATTTATTATTTATTTTAGATATTCACCAATAAGTGCTACTTAATAGAATGAACACAATTATCATTTAAATTGAGTAGAAGGTGTAAATAATTTTGACACTGTCAATACTTAAACTATTACGTTATGTACGCTCATTTCTTTTTCTTGTTCCTGATGATAGCCAAAATCAGAATTTTCACTTTGAGTTCCGAACCTCAATATCCGACAATCCATCACTTTATTCTTTGTGCTCTTCTGTCTAAATTTTATTTATTTTAAATTTGCTATTTTTGTCTTAAATGATTAATTTATTGTTTAGAAAGCAATTTTTTGTTAGTGTACAAATTTTATAAAATAAATTTAAGGACCTCTCAATATGATTTCGCCTTAGGCCACGAGATCTATTGAGCCGCCCCTATCCTACTTCAACGGTAAATGATAGCAGCTAAAGAAAATTGAAAGAAGAAACGAGAAATCCTAAGGAGCAAAGTCACAGAAGTGCTGGAAATTACAACTAATACTAGAATTAACAACTAAAAGAAATCAATTCAATTATTATGCATTTTATTCTGGATCATATCAACACTCCCCCCTTCAAACAATCCTAGTCCTCAAAGATTAAAGGATGGGAAACTTGAGCTGGAATTCGTGCCAATCTTCCCATGTACTATCTTCGGGGGCTGCATTCAGCCACTTTACTAGAATCTGGGCTGTAGCTTACCATTCTTTGGAGCCAATCTCTTTTCTAAAATAGCTTTTGGTTCGAGCAACACATGACCATGCTCAGCATGAACAATAGGAAGGACTGGTGAGATCGAATGAGAACCAAGCTTCTTCTTAAGCTGAGATATGTGGAAAGTATGATGGATTTTTCAGTGAGCAGGTAGGGCCAATGTATACAGCTACTGATCCCACCTTTTGAGTGATCTGGAAGGGGCCATAGAACTTGGCTGAAAGCTTCTAAAAGGAATGAATTTTCAGGGATAGCTGTGTATAAGGTTGTAATTTAACATAAACCCAATCTCCAACCTCATAGTTCCTATCAGTTCTGCCTTTGTCTGCTTGGGACTTCATTCCATTCTGAGCTCTCAACAAGTGGAACTTGATTGTCCTCAACGTGGCTTCCCTTTCCTGTAAGCTTCTGCCTACCACTTCCAATTGAGAGTCAAGTGGCATGTAGGGTAATAGAGGGTGTGGTTTCTGACCATAAACAACCTCATAAGGTGTCATTTTGATAGTTGAGTGATAGATAGTGTTGTACCACCACTCTACCAAGGGTAATCACTGAGGACATTCTTGTGGTCTGTCACATATCATGCACCTTAGAAAACATTCCAAACATCGATTTATCACCTCAATTTGTCCATCTGTTTGAGGGTGGTAAGCAGTAGAAGTAAGCAAAGTCAAATCCTGCAATTTAAACAACTCCTTCCAAAATTTGTTGTTGAAGACCATATCTCTGCCAGACACCACAGATTTGGGCATACCATGGAGTTTAAAAACATTATCCATGAATACTTGTGCCACCTCTAATGTAGTATAAGAGTGTTTTAAATCCATGAAATGAGCAGCTTTACTCAGCTTGTCAACTACTACAAAGTTAACCTCCCTGCCTTTGGCTTTTGGTAACCTTCAATGAAATCTATGGAAATGTCTTCCCATACCTTGTCAGGAATAGGTAATAGTTGCAGCAAGCCTGGATATGCTACATTCTCATTTTTACACCTTTGACAGGTGTCACACTCTCTTACAAAGGTGTAGACTGTTTGCTTTATTTTCTTCCAACAATAATCTTGCTTAAGCCTGCTCAAAGTAGCAGAAAAGCCAGAATGTCCTATTGAGCTGTTGTGGTAATAAGCTGCCAGCTTCTTTCTAAGTTCCTCATTGTGGCCTTTCATAATTCTTCCTTTTCTACTCAGAATTCCAGTCTGGTATTTGTAGTATGGTTTGGTTGGTGCAGAGTTTTGCAACTTCTGGATAAGCACCTGTAGAATAGGATCTTGTAGCCAAGATTGTTTGACCTCCTCCAACATGTCCACTTGAATTCCAGAGATGCTGCAAATTTGAGTTGGTTCCTCTCTTTTTGACAAGGCATCTGCAACAATGTTGTCCTTCCTTTTTTTTTTATAGGAAATAATATAGTCATAGCCATGTAATTTGACTAGCCACTTTTGTTGACTAGATGTTGTAATCCTCTACTCCAATAGATACTTGAGGCTATGGTGATCAGTCTTGATGATGAAGTGTCTGCCCAACAAGTATGGCCTCCGCTTCTGCGCTGCACTCACCAATGCCAACAACTCTCTCTCATACATTGATAAGTCCTTGTTTTTTCCATATAGTCCTTTGCTAAAGAAGGCTATAGATCGGCTCTCCTGAGTAAATACTGCACCAATACCATCTCCTGAAGCATCAGTCTCCATAATGAATTCCTTAAAGAAATATGGCAATGCCAAGACAAGAGCTGAAGTCATCAGCTTCTTTAATTCCTCAAATGCTTGAGTTGCAACCTCATTTCATGCAAAGTTCCCATTCTTTAAGAGTTTAGATAAGGGTCTAGCAGTGGCCCCATATCCCTTAATGAAACGTCTGTAATAGCCAGTAAGTCCTAGGAATCCCCTGAGTGATTTGATGGAGGAAGGTTGAGGCCAACTGAGTACTGCTGCTATTTTTTGGCCATCCATTGGAACTCCTTGTTCAGAAATTCATGCCCAAGATAATCCACCCGAGTTTCACCAAAAGCACATTTTCTCTGTTTAACAAATAGTGTATAAGTTCTCAAAACCTCAAAGTTTTTCTCCAATTGTATTAAGTGGTCACCCTAAGAAAAGATGTACACTAGTTTATCGTCAAAGAAAACCAAAATAAAATTCCTTAAAAAAGGAAGGAAGATCTAGTTATCAAGCTCTGAAAAGTAGAGGGAGCATTGGTTAAGCCAAAAGGCATTACCAAGAATTCAAAATGGCCATGGTGAGTTCTAAAAGTAGTTTTTGGGATGTCAGGTTCCCACATCCTAATTTGATAGTAGCCTGACCTCAGGTCCAGCTTAGAAAAGAACTTGGTAGCATAGAGTTCATCCAACAATTCATCAATGACTGGTATAGGAAATTTGTCTTTGACTGTGTGACTGTTAAGCTTCCTATAATCAACACACATTCTCCAGCTCCTTCATTTTTCTTCACCATAACAATAGGTGAAGAGTAAGGACTTGTACTGTTCCTTATTACTCTAACAATTTTCAACTCGTCAACCATCTTCTCAATCTCCTCTTTCTGTATAGTAGGGTACCTGTAAGGTCTAATGTTGATAGGGGAGGTGCCTTCCTTCAATACAACCCTCTGATCATGTTGTCTAGGTGGTGGAAGGTTCTTAGGAACCTCAAACAAGTCACTATACTTCTGCAATAGTTCCTGTAATCCTGACTTTATCCTCCACTATTTCTATCTGAGCTTGCAATTTTCAGAAACTAGCCCCAGGTTCAGGGCTTGTAGCAAACAATCCTACTGTCATCGTAGATAACTCAGCATGTTTAGCTAAGAGTCTATCCATCTTCCCTTGATCTACCAGCTTCATAGTAGGATGTTGTCCACCCCTCAATGAAACCTTTTGTCCGTTGTATGTAAACTCTATTTTTAACTTCCTAAAATTTCATAGGATATCACTAGTGTGATAAACCATTACACCCTACAACCATATTTCAACCACCCAAATGTAAGGTTAATATGTCAGAAATAAACTGAGCCCCGTGCATCTTTCAAATGAAACCCTTACAGATGAAGTTGTTGTGCATTTTGTTGCCATCAGCTACTGACACAGCAAAAGGATGGATCCTAGTTAAGTAATATCCCAACCTCTTTGCAGTATTGAGGTCCATAAAGTTTTTATGCTACATGTGTCAATCAAGATCGTGACTGCCTTCCCCTTCACTGAACCTGTAAATCTCATAGTTCTAAACATAGTTCTAAAATCTTGAGCACCAGTCATTGCATGAACTAAAACATGAGGTAAGATGGGTCCTTTATTGTCAACATCAAATT